GCTTTATCCCAGCTGGGGTCTTGAGGGATGCTGGTGCCCATCTCCAGCTTTCAATGGGCGAGTGGCGGGATCCACCCTGGACAGGTCTCCAGTTTATCGCAGGGCAACACAGAGACAAACAACCATTCATGCACACACTCACACCTACGGAGAATTAGAGCAGCCAATTAACCCAGCAGTCATGTTTTTGGACTGTGGGAGGAAGCCGGAGTACCCGGAGAGAACCCACACATGCACAGAGAGAGCATGCAAACTCTATGCAGAAAGACCCCAGACCAGGAATTGAACCCAGAACCCACTCTACCACTGGGCAGCTCCCCCCACTTTTTTTTTTTTTTTGACAATTTACAAAATGTTTGCAGTTTTTAGCATGGAGTTTGCATGTTCTCCCTGTGCATGTGTGGGTTCTCTCCGGGTACTCTGGCTTCCTCCTACAGTCCAAAAGCATGACTGTTAGGTTTATCAGCGTCCCCAGGTGCATTTGTGTTCATGGTTATATGTGTCTGTGTTTCCCTGTGCAGAGTGGACCCCACCCTTCCTCCATTGACTGCCTTGGATGGGCATGAGCCCCACCCCAACACTGATGGATGAAGGGGATGAAGATTGATTGATGGATGTTTTGTTTTTGTTTTTTTTCAAATTCCCATCAACAGAAACTGTTCTTTGCTTGCAAAAATAATTCAATCCCACAGAAAACAGAAAACTAATTTAAGAATCTGAAACTTCAAGGCTATAAAAAAAATCAATACCACAGCGTCAAAATAAGAGTCTAAAAGCTGAAGCATGACCTGAAAACTCAACCTGCAAAAATCTTGGATTAAAAATATGATCTATAAAGTTAGTTTAATAGCATTAAGTTTTAGCTGCATCTGCAACATTCATTTCAAAGTATCATTTATCCTTCATTGGATAAAATAATGATGTTGTGAGAAAAATAATAATTAATATGTTGTTACTAGGGTCAAATGGCACAGACTAGTAGGAAGGACTCCTATAAACTTTTTTATTTATAAAATCTACTTTTAATCTGAAAAACAAGGAACATTAGAACCAATATTCCAGTTTATTAAATATGACTGTATGCTGGAATATTCTGTTGGAGCTGCTCTGATGATAAAATGCAATTCCTGGATGACGGTTCTTTGAACGATTCATTATTAAGTATCTATTATAGAATTCAAAGCAGTGCTTCAGATTTCAATTAACATAATTCATTAATTAAAGTCATTCCACAGATTCCTATTTACTGTTGTGTTCTGAAAAAGATTCAGTTTAAAATGTTTTAATATTTTCTCTGAATTTTCTGTAACATAATCTGACATTTTAAATTAGAAATCAGATTTTATTTAAACTTCTTGTCCTCTGGAATCACAAGATTCCCTTAAATAAAATGGATCACGCTTCTCGTTTTGATTCATTTCTTTTTAAACTATAAGAAAATGATTTTAGCAAAGCTCAAGATCTTATTCTGTCCTGCTTATTATTAAATTATCTGCACAAGTTAAGGATCAAATATCCATCCTTTCCCAGGACAAGCCATTCTGATAAAGTTTTGCATTTTTTTTTTAATGAATTTATTGGTTGATTAATCTTATTTATAGAATGCCAACAGCAACAAAACAAGCCAGAGATGTTTTTATTTGGTTGATATAAAAACTATGACAACTTGATGAAAGCATGAAGCAAACAAAAATCTTTTCTTTATGTCTCATGAGATTCTAATGTTCTCCATGACAAATTATATTTTCAGTAACTCTGAATAAATAAATATTATAAACAGAAATGATCTTATTAATTAGAGCAACGAACCAGTTAAATTTGTTTCATGTAGTAAAAATACTCACTGACATAAAAATTACATCATTGTAATGGCAGTAAAATATTTTAGAATACTTTTTTTCTCTCATATTATCAATATTTCCATTAACATGAAATCCAGTCAAATTTTAAGACAAAATAGAGTAATTATCACAATGAAATCAAGTAAATTAGTCCATCTATTTTAAAATGTGCATTTTACATAAATATATTTTCAGTACTTTGTAGGAAGAAGTGATTTTCATGTCCTTTACTGAGGAACAATGCTATTACGGTCTCATACCAAATGAAAATGTGTTATTAAAAATAGGAAAAAGCTCCAATTGAAATTAGTTTAATCAAATGTTTCGATTTGATTTATATTGTTTACGACTTAAGTTGAATAAATTAAGTCATGTAATCTTGAATACCAACAGAAGCCATTAATTTAAGGTGGAGCTGCATCGTTGTAGATCATCCACTTTTCTTTCTCCAGGTGAACGCTGCTTCCAGCTGCACCGCTGTGCAGCAGATCCGTTTATTTATTTACTTCACAGCAAAAGTTATTTCAGGGCAATGCACAAAACTTAATGCAGTCAAATATGGATTTAAGTAAAGTGACTTCATTCTAATACAACACAATTTATCAGTGAGGTAATCATAAAAAGAAAACAGATCAAATGTTGATCCTGAGGATGCAGAACGGAAACACCTCCCAAGCAACAAATTAAATAGAAATCAAAGACATTAAACTATAATTTATTTCTGTCTGTGCCTCAATTAGACTCATTGTTAGGTTTTTTTGCTTCTGATATGCTGCACTCATCAAAGACAGAACGATGTCTCTTTGCAAAGTGACATGGAAGGACTTGAAAAAGGAAATGTGGATGGTTCCTAACTTTAGAGCTGAGCGCATTTCAAATGAAAACACATTATGTGCTGTGAAGGTTTTTTAAACGTCAAGTGCTCAATAGACAGAAAAGCAACCGTTTATAGGGAAAAGTCTAGAAGGATGAGATTTGAGGCTATTCGGCAAAGATACCGCTACATGGCTGTACATGTTATTTTGGCATTTGACCAATCAGAGGAGCCCTTAAATGAAATATTACCTACCATAAATTCAGTTAAAAAACAGTTAACCAATTATGAAAATGTTAAAAATATAATAAAAAAAAAGTAGTGTCAGCTGCATTGTTTTTTTCATAATTTTGTTTTTAAATATATATATATATATATATATATATATATATATATATTAGGGTAAATGTTTATTACATTGACATTAATTTTTGCTATCAAAATATACACATTTTTTGAACGTTACTAAAGTAATAAAGTTTTGTCCTGTCCTCCATTAAAATTCTTGGCTTGAAATTTTTATTTTCAAAGTATTTAAATGAATTCCCATATAATGGATTAAAACTAACAAAAATATATACTTTATTCATTTCAGTTCATTTTATAAAATTTCTAGGTGTTTGATGCATCTTCTTTATGTCTGTATGGAAGCCCATTTCCACCAGTTAAAAGTAAAAAAATTATGTTGATTCAGGATTATGAAAGTTAACATTAGTTATAATTATCACTTTTAAAGCAGTAATTATCATATTTAAAATCATAATTTCGACTTTCAATGTCATAGGTATGGAATATAAGAACATTATGAAATTCAAATTCATAATTATAAAATTAAAGACATAATTATGAGATTTAGCATCATAATTATGACATATTTTGTGTATCGTAACAGTAATGACATACCATGTACCCTTGTTTTTTTTTTTTTACTTTGAGTGGCATAACTGGGCTTCCATATATGTCTTAAAAGTAAAAAAATATATACTTTGAAATTGTAATCCTTTATTTTAAGTAAGAATCATAGAAAATTAAGGTACCAAAATGTTTTACACACATAGCTAT